GGGAAGAGCACCCACAGCTCAGATCAGATCTTTCCCCACAATCTGTGGGGCAGTACAACTGGGTGAGTTTTTATGGCAAGATAAGCAACTTGAGGGCTCCACTTTGGTATGCTAATAAAATGAAAATGTCAATATTTACACATGACCTTCAAGGCTCTTACACTCTTGCTTTCTTAGGATTCAGTACAGACTGCATTTTCTTTAGTCCGTTACCAACAGCTTGGAAATTCAGTTAGAGGACATAACCCAAATGTTCTCCAAATGTTGCTTCCAAATGGGCATCTTGAAAAGTGCTGATTTACGGCGTGCAAACTTTCTGCACCAAGAGAGGGCTGTCACTCTGCTTCCCCAACTGCAGGGAATTACCACAAGATTAAAACCACTGATGATAAAGATAGTGCCAGGGAGTGTACTTTAATTTGTTGATAACAAAAGCACAAGAGGCCTTTGTATAGGCTTCCTGAAGCCTCACTATTGTGTATTGCACATTCAACCCCTGCTTGTGTGCTGACACAAACAAATAAACGCGATCATAACGGTTGAAATGTAGTTAGAAACACAATTGAGAACATCTGTATTGTAAGCATAAATAAATTAGAAATACTAAAGTGTTTTGTAGCTGTGAAAATGAAGGAATAAAAAAATAACCCGCAGTACCTGGATTAAGCGGTTATAAATAATGTATAAAGCAAAAATCTCATTACCCCCTGCGTAAACTCCCCCCCAATGAAATATATTTTATGAATGTAGTAACACTGTAATAACCAAAGCATTTGTTTTTCCCCACAAACTTTCCATTTCATAACTGTGAGATTGTTTGGATTTATAAATTCGGGACCAAACATCCCCCAGTTTACAGGTTTTGGTCTCTTCCTTGTGACCTTCAGCTCTGGAACTCAGCAAGTTCCACACTCCACTATTTATCAGAATGCTGCTTTGCACATGTGAAAGCTTTCTTCATATACAGCCACATAAAAACAAACAGAGGCAAACACAAATTCCCGTGGCCCTGGCGGCCCTGGAGGAAAAGGCCTTGAAACTCTTGCATTGCAGGAGCCACTGGGTGGACGGAAAGAGCGCAACCTATGCCTATCAGCAACACCTGCTGCGGCTCCGAGAGTCCAGGCTGCCAGCGATGGTATTGATCATGTCGTTGATGTTAATAAAAGTAAAATGACAGCTGCCAGATTAGTGAGCTTTGTCCAGCTGAGCTATGGGGCCATCACAGGGGTGGCTGGAATTTCCCCTTGGGTGCCATCCTCAGCATAGCCAGAAACCAGAAGGAACACGATTCTCTGCATACCCACTTACTCTTGCAGCCCTTCCACATTCCATTTCTTGGTTCTTTTTTTCCTACCATAAACCCATGATCATGGAACCCAACAGCATGGTGAAGGGTCAAGTACGGTTTCAGAGTCCTGTCATTTATGAAACCCAGTTCTCCTGGGTCATGCAAGCTGAACGTCGTATCTTTAAGATATACTAGGGCAAGAAGTACGGCACAGAGAGCTGGCTCAGTACAATTATTTTTTTACATAATAGGAGCCACCCTAATCGTATCCTACTTCAAATACCTAAGGATCCGTTCTGAGCTTTTAATCAATGAATTATCGTACATATTATTTGGCTCTCCTAACATCCTTGGACTGGTTCCTAAGCGACCCACAGATAACTGCCCTAATCCTAGCCTGATGCCAATCAGGTGCTGCTCATACTTGCATGACTTGTGACTGTTCTCTTTCCGCCTAACCCCATCAGGACAGCAGTGTGGCTAAGCAGCTAAGCAGAATGACCCTGTGAGATTTCCTTCCAGTATAAAATTGCACATGGACTCATTTTTGGAGTCAGTCAGAAACTCATAATTTCCCTTAGTTTTGGTAATCAGCTATGACGCAGTGGCAGGAAATTACTGGATTATGACTCAGAAGCTTGCTTTCAACCCGCATCTCCTCTCGCTACCTGAGTGACTTTGGATCAGTGCATCTCAGAGCTTTAGTTATCTAGAAAGTGGGGATAATATTACTTCACATTTTAGTAGGACTTAAATAAAGTTAATGCAAAGAAAGGTGCTTTATATAGTTTAAAGAGTTATTAAATGGTATGGTGTTATCATTTGTCTTAGTCCACGCAGGTTGTTATAACAAAATACCACTGACGAAGTAGCTTCTAAACAACAAAAATTTATTTCTTACAGTTCTGGTGGCTCAAAGTCCAAAACCTAGGTGCCTGCATGTTGGGCGAAGGCTCTATTTTGTGACTCAGACTTCTCAACTTCTGGCTGTGTCCTCACATGGTAGAAGGGAGGAGGAAAGGATCTGTCCAGAGCCTCTCCTATTAGGGCACTAATCCTCTTCATGAGTTCTCCACCCTTACATCTCATCATACCCCAAGGCCTATCTCCAGATACCATCACCTTGAGGGTTAAAATTACATATACATTTTGGAGGGACACCAAACATTCAGACCATAGCATCATTATTAAAAGGAAATGTCTATCCTATGTTACGACATGGTTTAAGGATCAAATTAAATAAAATATGTGAAAAGGGCTTTTAAAAGTGTAAAGAGCTGAGCAACACAAAGTAAAAGTACATCACTACATTGTGAATGTAATGGCTATAGCCCCATTAGATGGATTACTTGTAGTCACTAGTTTCATGTTCACATTTGCCAGAGCAGCTCAGTCTGCTAGATAAAAAGAGGGTGCAGCATCTGGAGATAATAGATTTAGTGTTATCTTTAGCACAGTTTTTTAATTGTGAGCACCTCAATTAATTTTTTTTTCTCATTTGTTTTACTTCTAATATGAAGAAACGATAGTCACCTCCTAATATGATTATTGAGAAAATATAATTGAAATGGATTCCAAAAATAGTTTTTAAGGACAAAGTTATGTGAAGGTCATAAGTTGTGCATGAACTCCTTCAACAATAAACAGGCACAACTCCACATACCCCTAGGAGCTCAAGCTGATATTGTAACAATGAGAACCTATTGAATCAGGACAAAGTGATGGTTCTGCTCGTGTGAAGATCTAGGTCTCAGAGTCTGGTCTGCGGGCAGGGTGTAAAGAGCAGATTGCATTTTCAAGAGAAAGGTTAAGCTTGAATGTTTTGGACAGGAGGTGGTTAGATGGATTTTTTTTTAAGTCCTTGAATTTACCTGATGAGTTTTGTGTCCTTGTACTGGTTGTTGCCCATTCCAGGTTATGAATAAATTTAGCAACACAAAAGAGGTCATTTAAAAATCTCTCCCTCAGATGCTCCATTTCCTCTGGTGCCCTGTCCAGCTTTCTCTTCCTCTTCACTAATTTGGCCACCTTTGAGGCTGCCCTTGTGATCGTAATGAGTTTAAGATTAGTGGTATGTGGTTTTAGAAAATTTTGGAAACTTTTATAGGACAGTTGTGGAAAGGTGGAGGTTTCCAGAAGACCCTTAAGAGAAGTTAAGAGATCCATTTTATGTATGTATGTATATATGGCTTTAAAACAACATTTTATTTTGACTAATTTTAGGCTTACAAAATGTAAAAATACTATGGTGTTCTTTTATATTCCTCACTCTGCTTCTACTTATGTTAATACTTCTCATCATCATATCATAATTATCAAGAATAGGAAATGAACATTAGTGCAGTGTTATTAACTAAACTATAGACTTCATTAGAAAGTTACTAATTTTCCTGCAAATATCGTTATCTGGTTCCAAGATCCTATCCAGTACCCCACATAGCATTTCGCCTCCGGTCTGTAACAGTTCGTCTCTCTTTGTCCTTCATGACTTTGGCGCATTTTGAAGAGTAGTGATCAGTAATTTTGTAGAATGTCCTTTAATTTAGGTTCGTCTAATGTTTTCTCATGACTGGGATAATATTAAACAGTTTTGGCAAGAATGCCACAGGAATGATAGTGTGTGATGTTTGCCTTAATCACTTGGCGAGGCTGGTGTCTGCTGATTTCCTCATTATAAAGTTACTGCCTTTCCCTTTGTATTGATAAGTATTTTGAGGGCGATATTTTGAGTTCATTCAAATCCTATTTATCCATCTTGAATTTCTTCTGTATAAAGTCACAGACACCTGTGTATTTTACTGTATCTAAATTCTTATACAAAAGATTACATACTCTAGATACATTTTGGGGCTTTGCCTTTATTCGCTTAATGTAAGTCACGGTTTTCTTCATTCTTTTGTACAGTTACATAGTACTTCATTGAGTGGCTGTAACAGTTTATTCAAATACTCTCTGATGTATGGGTACTTAAGTTGTTTTCGATGTTTTGCAATTATAAACAATGCAACAATGAATAAGTTTGTACATATGTATTTTGTATTGTTGGAGATACGTCCCTAGAAGTGGGATTGTTAGATCAGAAAGAAAACGCATATACAATTTTGTTTGATATTGCCAAATATTCCTCCAGAAGGGTTTTACCAATTTGCATTCCCACCGAGAATGTATGGAAGTGCCTGTTTCCCCAGAGTTTCACCAATGAGCTTTCTAATAGAAAGTATTCTCATATTTAAAAATTTTTGCCAATTCATTAGGTGAGAAATGAATTCTGAGTGGTTTGAGCATTTTTTTCACAAGTTTTAAAATTTTTGCCAATTCATTAGGTGAGAAATGGATTTCTTTAATTCTGAGTGGTTTGAGCATTTTTTTCACAAGTTTGATGGTCATTTAATTCTGAGTGGTTTGAGCATTTTTTTCACAAGTTTGACGGTCATATTTGTGTCTTTTTTTTTTTTTTACATATTATCATAATTTTGGTTCTTTGTCCCTCAGTTTCAAAGATTTCATTACATATGAAGAATATTAGCCCTTTTTCTCTAGTATATATTAAAATATTTTTGCCCCATTTGTCAGTCGTCTTTTGTTTACAATGGTTTTTGTCATGCAAAATATTTAATTTGTATGCAGTCAAATTTATTATTTTTAAAATCGTCTCTGGATTTTATTTTTATTTTTATTTGTTTTTATTTTTTTATTTTATTTTTTTTTGTGTCAGATGGGTAATGTGCTGATGTCGTAACAAGGTTTGAGGGAGGCACATCTCACACAACAGCATGAACATGCAATCATCATGCTAATGAACTACAAAAGGATCTGTCTCTGGATTTTAAATCATATTTAGAAAGCCCTCTTACTAATTAATTTAGCCATGTTTTCCTCCATATTGTATGGTTTCAGTTTAGTTCTACTTGGAGTTTATTTTATTGTATGATGTGAGACATGGATCTAATTTTATCTTTTTCTTTTTCAATGACTACCTAGGTGTTCCGGAACTATTTATTAAAAATTTCATTTTTACCCCAGTGATTTAAGGTGCCATCTTTGTCATATACTGAACTTCCACATATATTTGGGTCTAATTCTGGACTATTCTATTCCACTAGTCTGTTTGTCTGTTTCTCTATTTATGTCCCAGCACTACACTGTTTTAATATTCAAGGTTTTATAAAATGTTTTAATTTCTGGTAAGACTAGTCACCCTATACATTTTTTTTTTAGCATTTTCCTACTGATTCCTGCATTTTTTCCTCATACAAACATTAGTATCAAAGTTTCTAACTCCAGAACATAGCTTCTTGGTATTTTATTAAAATTATATTAAATTTATGAATTAACTTCGGGAGAACTGTTATTTTTATAATGCCATAATTCTATCCAAGAGCAAGAGATGTTTTCTATTTATTCAGGACTTTATTAAGTGTCCTTTTTCCTTGTACAAGTTTGCACTCTTCTTGTTAAGTTTATTCATAAGTGTTTATCACATTTTGATGCTGTTATGTTTTTTTCCTATCATTATGTCTACTGTTTATTATTTGTTTGTATTTAAGGCCATTAATTTTTAGATGTTAATTTTATATCCTGCTACTTCCATAAATTCTTTTATTGTTTGAGTCAGTTTTGTTATCGATTCTCTCTATCATTTGCAAATATAATTTTTCTTCATTTTAAATCATTCTTATGCCTCTGATTTCTCTTGTCTAATTGCATTGGCTAATACTTCTAGTAATGGCAGAAATAGTGGATATTTGTGTCTTGTTCCTGATCATAGTGGAAATGGCTTTAGTGTTTCTCCTTTAAATAAGATACTGGCTTTAGATTAGTCATCATGTTGAAATAGTATACGTAAATTCCTATTTACTGGAATAGTTTTACCAAGAATGTGTGCTAAATTTTGTCAAATGTTTTCTCAGTGTCTGTGGAGATAGTTATGATTTTTTTCCTTTTATATTATTATGTGTAGTAGGCTGACTAATGAACATCAGGTTCTAATCCTCAGAATCTGTAAATGTTATATTATACAATAAAGTTTTTGCAGATGTAATTAAATAGAAGATCTTCAGATAAGGAAATTATCCTGGATTATCCAAGACAGTCCTAAATGCCATTACAAATGTGGTTATGAGAGAAAGTGAAATTAAACACATATGTAGAGGAGAAGGCAATGTGAAGATGGAAGGAGAGATTGGAGTGATATATTCAGAAGCTAGGGAATGCTGGCAGTCACCAGAAACTGGAAGAGGCAAGGAATGGATTCTCCCACAGCCTATGGAGAGTGCGTGAGAGAATTTGACACTTTGGTTTCAGACTTATCACCTCCAGAACTGTAAGAGAATAAATTCTTGTTTTAAGCCACCAAATTTATGATAATTTGTAAAAGTGGCCACAGAAAACTGATGGGGATTTTGGTCCTGGGAAGTGAGATGCTGCTGTAACAGATAACTAAAAATATGAAAGTGGCTTTGGAATTGGATTATGGGTAAGAGGTTAGAAGAATTTTGAGGTACATGATAGGAAAAGCCTGGATTGTCTTAAATAGACTGTTGGTAAAAATATAAATGTTAAAAACACTTTTGATGAGGTCTCACAAGGAAATGAGAATATTATTGGACACTGGAAGAAAGATGATCTTTGTTATATAGTGGAAGAAAAGCGAGCTGAATTGTGTTGTACAGTTGTGTATAAAGCAAAAATTTTAAGTAACGAACCTGGATATTTAGCTGAGGAGATTTTCAAGCAAGGTAGTAAATGTGCAGCCTAATTTCTTCTTGTTGCTTATAGCAAAAGAACAGAGGAAAGGGATAACCTGAGGAACGAATTGTTAAGCAAAGAGGAACCAGCACTTGGCAATTTGGGAAATTCTTAACCTATCTAGATTGCAAATGATGATAAAATGAGAAGGTTTATTGTTAGGAAAGTGTGCTCTGGAGAGAATGCCAAGCATGTGGCTGGGCAACCTTTAAGTGTTGAAGAGATTTAAGTGTGCCGGATTATGTTTGCTAATATTTTGTTTAGAATTTTTGCACCGATGTTAATGAGTATTGCTGCTCTGTAGATTTATGTCCTTGTATTGTCTTTATCTGTTTAAGTATGAATATTATATTTGTGTCATAAAAAAGGTTTAAAAAGTTTTCTTTCAATTTCAGTATTCTGAAGCTATTTATAGAGCAATTAAGGCTGGCTAGTATTTGAAGGTTTAGTAGAATTCCCTTTGAAATCATCTGTGCTTGGTGATTTTTAAAAAAATAACTTTCTCTATTTTTTGTATGGACATTGGTCTGCTTAAGTTTACTGACCCTAATAAGATCAATATGTATTTCCCTAGAAAATTATCCATTTAATCTAGGCTTTTGAATTTATGTGCATAGAGATCTACAACTTAGTCTGTTATGAATGAAAACATTTTTTTTACTGTTTCAGTGTTTTTATTCCTCTTCTCAATTCTCCTCCTCCTCCTCCTCCTCCTCCTTCTTCTTTTTTTAAAATATTTGTACATTTTCCCTTTTCTGGGATCAAGTTAGTTAGTGGTTTACCTATTTTGTTAACTTTCTCCTCAAATCAGGATTTTGACAGTTACTTAATGCCCACATGGCAATATAGGCATATCCACTTTTCTCTCCCTTCTCTTATTTTTTATTTATTTTATTTTTTGATTTTAATCAATCAATCAATTAATTAATTAATTATTTTAGGTGGGGCAACCCTTGGTTGACCTCACAGGTTGCAAGGACCTTGTCAGCTTACAATCCTTAATTTTTTTATTTTTTACGTCTACAGCACCTGGTCTTCCTAGGTGGTCTGCCATCCAAGTACTAACTAGGCCCAATCCGGCTTAGCTTCCGAGATCAGATGGGATCGGGCTTGTTTAGGGTGACATGACCATAGACTCTCCTAGTTTTTCGTTGCAATGTTTCTACTTTGTCACAGTATACAACAGCTACATGGCAGTCTTTCACTTCCATTTCCACTTTTATTTTAGTATTATGTACATTTGTATATTTAAAAATGATACATATTAATCCTTTTATTAAAGTTTTTCCCTGATATGATTTAGTTGGGTGAAGCTTATTCTTTAGTAGGTTCTTCAAGGACAGTTTATGGCCACAGAATTCCATAAATCTTTATGCATTAAAAGTTTTTATTTGATATATTTTATTTCCTTCTTTGTACTTTTTTTTTTTTGTAAACTTTAATGCCAGTTGAACTCCTTTGCCATTATTCAATTTAAAAAAAAGTAATTTTGCAAAATTGTTTGTTATTTTTGCCTGGAGATCTTGAAGGTTTTATCTTTGTTTTCGAAATTTAATAGTTTTACTAAGATATGTCTCATCTTTGGTCATTTTGGGTTCATTTTCCCAAGTGCTTAGTAAGCTTTTCAAAGCTTTTTCTATTTCTGGAATAAATTTCTTAGATTAGAATTTTAAAAAGTAGTTGTGTTTCATTTGTTTGTTTTTTTTTCTTCTTTAGGGACCCTGATAATACAAATATTATTTCTTCATTGCCTGTTTTCTATTTCCACTATTCTTTTTCTGATCTTCTTTATGTCTTCCTTTGTGTCATTTTCACTCTTTTGGTTGTTTTCTTGCCTTTCTTCAATGTCCTTCACAAAAATTTTATTTGAGTCTGTTTTCTTTTGGACACTTTGTAATTTCTTCTTTATTTTTGAGATAATATCCTTTTTTTCCTATTTCTTTCCAAAGTTAAGTCAACTATTTTTTCATTCCTACCCCCCCACCCCCTTTATTTTGGTCCGTTTCTATTCTCAATGTTTGAATTTTTAATTTAAAGTGGTTTTCAGATCTTCAAACGTTTATTAGAATATACTTAATTTGTTATGGAGTATAAACTTAAAGTTTCTTTCTGCTTCATGGTTCATTTGGAGGGGAGGGATTTTCCTCAGTTGATTTGTGTAAAAGCTCTCTCTGCAATACACCGTTTTAGATCTTATTGTTCTGGGGGTGTGTGTGTGTGTGTGTGTGTGTGTTACCTTTTTAGATTTTATTGTTCTGGGTGTGTGTGTGTGTGTGTGTGTGTGATGTTGAAATGTTTTACATGGTTCCTATTTAAATGGCACTCTTTATTGTTAGTCTAGTAAAATTCATGTACTTTAGCTGGTTTTGTTTGTTTTGGTGGTGAGGGAGAAATCGTGAGTCCACCAATTTTTTCTTGTAATACTCTACATTTTTCTTCTTTTCTACTTTTTTATTAATTGCTAAAGGACATTTTTTCCTTCCCTTCCCCGCCCTTTTTTTTCCCTCTCCCAGAAGCTAAGTATTTGAAAGACTGTCCTTTTAAATTATACTTGCTCATTTTAATTGTGCCTGTCCGTTTAAACTCAGTGTTTGGCTCTTTAGCTGCCTACCCTTTAAAAGGCATATACTTCGAAATCCTCATCCTGAAGTCCTAACCTATTTAATCTTTCTGGTATCCTTCCAACTTTCCCTGAGGTCTCCTTGCCTGCACCCTTCTTCTGTATTCTGCACAGTTTTTATTGGTCTGCTTTTGTTTGTAGCAAAACTCTGTGGTGGGAATAGAGGAACAGAACGGCATGGGATTTCTTTCTTTTTCTCTTTTTACTCACACTTTTAAAAAGCATACTTGGCATTCTATTCAAGTAATCGTGGAAGTATGGTTTTGCATAGAGATTTCATAGTTCCAGAGTTACTTTATATTGTTAGAAAGAGAAATGAGGTTGGGAGGTTACTTACTATACACCTGTCATTGTCTTTGGCTATTTGAAAGTCCTCACAGAATGATTGTTTGTGTGCTAAAACAGCAATCTCAAACTTGCCAGTGATTTTACTTACCACCTATAC